ACCTCAGACTGACTCGTATAACAAAATTACTTGTCCGCATCAACCAAAACTGGCCTAATTTGCTCTTTTTTATGTAAATCTTATAGTTGCTTAGTAAATCAGTTATATTTGTATGTAAGGATAGATTGTATAAAACAAATGATAGCAATATTGGACCACAATGACTACAAAATTTTGTTCGCATCAATTGAGAGTGCCAAAATGTCCTGTCTTTATTCAAAATGTTGAATCGTAAACAAATATCAGTAGTTTTCATACCTCAGACTGACTCGTATAACAAAATTACTTGTCCGCATCAACCAAAACTGACCAAATTTGCTCTTTTTTATGTAAATCTTATAGTTTCATAGTAAATCAGTTATATTTTTATGTAAGGATGGTTTGTACAAAACAAATGATAGCAATATTAGACCACAATGACTACAAAATTTTGTTCGCATCAATTGTGAGTGCCAAAACGTCCTGTTTTTATTCAAAATATTGAATCGTAAACAAATATCAGTAGTTTTCATACCTCAGACTGACTCGTATAACAAAATTACTTGTCCGCATCAACCAAAACTGACCTAATTTGCTCCTTTTTTATGTAAATCTTATAGTTGCATAGTAAATCAGTTATATTTGTATGTAAGGATGGATTGTATAAAACAAATGATAGCAATATTGGACGACAATGACTACAAAATTTTGTTCGCATCAATTGAGAAAGCCAAAATGTCCTGTCTTTATTCAAGATGTTGAATCGTAAACAAATATCTGTAGTTTTCATACCTCAGACTGACTCGTATAACAAAATTACTTGTCCGCATAAAACCAAAACTGACCTAATTTGCTCCTTTTTTATGTAAATCTTATAGTTGCATAGTAAATCAGTTATATTTGTATGTAAGGATGGATTGTATAAAACAAATGATAGCAATATTGGACCACAATGACTACAAAATTTTGTTCGCATCAATTGAGAGTGCCAAAATGTCCTGTTTTTATTCAAAATGTTGAATCGTAAACAAATATCAGTAGTTTTCATACCTCAGACTGACTCGTATAACAAAATTACTTGTCCGCATCAACCAAAACTGACCTAATTTGCTCCTTTTTTATGTAAATCTTATAGTTGCATAGTAAATCAGTTATATTTGTATGTAAGGATGGATTGTATAAAACAAATGATAGCAATATTGGACCACAATGACTACAAAATTTTGTTCGCATCAATTGAGAGTGCCAAAATGTCCTGTCTTTATTCAAAATGTTGAATCGTAAACAAATATCAGTAGTTTTCATACCTCAGACTGACTCGTATAACAAAATTACTTGTCCACATCAACCAAAACTGACCTAATTTGCTCCTTTTTTATGTAAATCTTATAGTTGCATAGTAAATCAGTTATATTTGTATGTAAGGATGGATTGTATAAAACAAATGATAGCAATATTAGACCACAATGACTACAAAATTTTGTTCACATGAATTGAAAAGCCAAAATGTCCTGTTTATATTCAAAATATTGAATCGTAAACAAATATCAGTAGTTTTCATACCTCAGACTGACCCGTATAACAAAATTACTTGTCCGCATCAACCAAAACTGACCTAATTTGCTCCTTTTTTATGTAAATCTTATAGTTGCATAGTAAATCAGTTATATTTGTATGTAAGGATGGATTGTATAAAACAAATGATAGCAATATTGGACCACAATGACTACAAAATTTTGTTCGCATCAATTGAGAGTGCCAAAATGTCCTGTCTTTATTCAAAATGTTGAATCGTAAACAAATATCAGTAGTTTTCATACCTCAGACTGACTCGTATAACAAAATTACTTGTCCGCATCAACCAAAACTGACCTAATTTGCTCCTTTTTTATGTAAATCTTATAGTTGCATAGTAAATCAGTTATATTTGTATGTAAGGATAGATTGTATAAAACAAATGATAGCAATATTGGACCACAATGACTACAAAATTTTGTTCGCATCAATTGAGAGTGCCAAAATGTCCTGTCTTTATTCAAAATGTTGAATCGTAAACAAATATCAGTAGTTTTCATACCTCAGACTGACTCGTATAACAAAATTACTTGTCCGCATCAACCAAAACTGATCTAATTTGCTCCTTTTTATGTAAATCTTATAGTTGCATAGTAAATCAGTTATATTTGTATGTAAGGATGGATTGTATAAAACAAATGATAGCAATATTGGACCACAATGACTACAAAATTTTGTTCGCATGAATTGAGAAAGCCAAAATGTCCTGTTTATATTCAAAATATTGAATCGTAAACAAATATCAGTAGTTTTCATACCTCAGACTGACTCATATAACAAAATTACTTGTCCGCATCAACCAAAACTGGCCTAATTTGCTCTTTTTTATGTAAATCTTATAGTTGCATAGTAAATCAGTTATATTTTTATGTAAGGATGGATTGTATAAAACAAATGATAGCAATATTGGACCACAATGACTACAAAATTTTGTTCGCATCAATTGAGAGTGCCAAAATGTCCTGTCTTTATTCAAAATGTTGAATCATAAACAAATATCAGTAGTTTTCATACCTCAGACTGACTCGTATAACAAAATAACTTGTCCGCACCAACCAAAACTGACCTAATTTGCTCCTTTTTTATGTAAATCTTATAGTTGCATAGTAAATCAGTTATATTTGTATGTAAGGATGGATTGTATAAAACAAATGATAGCAATATTGGACCACAATGACTACAAAATTTTGTTCGCATCAATTGAGAAAGCCAAAATGTCCTGTCTTTATTCAAAATGTTGAATCGTAAACAAATATCAGTAGTTTTCATACCTCAGACTGACTCATATAACAAAATTACTTGTCCGCATCAACCAAAACTGGCCTAATTTGCTCTTTTTTATGTAAATCTTATAGTTGCATAGTAAATCAGTTATTTTTTTATGTAAGGATGGATTGTATAAAACAAATGATAGCAATATTGGACCACAATGACTACAAAATTTTGTTGGCATCAATTGTGAGTGCCAAAATGTCCTGTTTTTATTCAAAATATTGAATCGTAAACAAATATCAGTAGTTTTCATACCTCAGACTGACTCGTATAACAAAATTACTTGTCCGCATCAACCAAAACTGACCAAATTTGCTCTTTTTTATGTAAATCTTATAGTTTCATAGTAAATCAGTTATATTTTTATGTAAGGATGGTTTGTACAAAACAAATGATAGCAATATTAGACCACAATGACTACAAAATTTTGTTCACATGAATTGAAAAGCCAAAATGTCCTGTTTATATTCAAAATATTGAATCGTAAACAAATATCAGTAGTTTTCATACCTCAGACTGACCCGTATAACAAAATTACTTGTCCGCATCAACCAAAACTGACCTAATTTGCTCCTTTTTTATGTAAATCTTATAGTTGCATAGTAAATCAGTTATATTTGTATGTAAGGATAGATTGTATAAAACAAATGATAGCAATATTGGACCACAATGACTACAAAATTTTGTTCGCATCAATTGAGAGTGCCAAAATGTCCTGTCTTTATTCAAAATGTTGAATCGTAAACAAATATCAGTAGTTTTCATACCTCAGACTGACTCGTATAACAAAATTACTTGTCCGCATCAACCAAAACTGACCAAATTTGCTCTTTTTTATGTAAATCTTATAGTTTCATAGTAAATCAGTTATATTTTTATGTAAGGATGGTTTGTACAAAACAAATGATAGCAATATTAGACCACAATGACTACAAAATTTTGTTCACATGAATTGAAAAGCCAAAATGTCCTGTTTATATTCAAAATATTGAATCGTAAACAAATATCAGTAGTTTTCATACCTCAGACTGACCCGTATAACAAAATTACTTGTCCGCATCAACCAAAACTGACCTAATTTGCTCCTTTTTTATGTAAATCTTATAGTTGCATAGTAAATCAGTTATATTTGTATGTAAGGATGGATTGTATAAAACAAATGATAGCAATATTGGACCACAATGACTACAAAATTTTGTTCGCATCAATTGAGAGTGCCAAAATGTCCTGTCTTTATTCAAAATGTTGAATCGTAAACAAATATCAGTAGTTTTCATACCTCAGACCGACTCGTATAACAAAATTACTTGTCCGCATCAACCAAAACTGATCTAATTTGCTCCTTTTTATGTAAATCTTATAGTTGCATAGTAAATCAGTTATATTTGTATGTAAGGATGGATTGTATAAAACAAATGATAGCAATATTGGACCACAATGACTACAAAATTTTGTTCGCATGAATTGAGAAAGCCAAAATGTCCTGTTTATATTCAAAATATTGAATCGTAAACAAATATCAGTAGTTTTCATACCTCAGACTGACTCATATAACAAAATTACTTGTCCGCATCAACCAAAACTGGCCTAATTTGCTCTTTTTTATGTAAATCTTATAGTTGCATAGTAAATCAGTTATATTTTTATGTAAGGATGGATTGTATAAAACAAATGATAGCAATATTGGACCACAATGACTACAAAATTTTGTTCGCATCAATTGAGAGTGCCAAAATGTCCTGTCTTTATTCAAAATGTTGAATCATAAACAAATATCAGTAGTTTTCATACCTCAGACTGACTCGTATAACAAAATAACTTGTCCGCATCAACCAAAACTGACCTAATTTGCTCCTTTTTTATGTAAATCTTATAGTTGCATAGTAAATCAGTTATATTTGTATGTAAGGATGGATTGTATAAAACAAATGATAGCAATATTGGACCACAATGACTACAAAATTTTGTTCCCATCAATTGAGAAAGCCAAAATGTCCTGTCTTTATTCAAAATGTTGAATCGTAAACAAATATCAGTAGTTTTCATACCTCAGACTGACTCATATAACAAAATTACTTGTCCGCATCAACCAAAACTGGCCTAATTTGCTCTTTTTTATGTAAATCTTATAGTTGCATAGTAAATCAGTTATTTTTTTATGTAAGGATGGATTGTATAAAACAAATGATAGCAATATTGGACCACAATGACTACAAAATTTTGTTGGCATCAATTGTGAGTGCCAAAATGTCCTGTTTTTATTCAAAATATTGAATCGTAAACAAATATCAGTAGTTTTCATACCTCAGACTGACTCGTATAACAAACTTATTTGTCCGCATCAACCAGAACTGACCATATTTGCACCTTATTATGTAAATCTTATAGTCGCATACTAAATTAGTAATATTTTTATATCAGGATGGATTGTATAATACAAATGACAGCAATATTGGAAAACAATGACTAAAAAATTTGGTTCGCATCAATTTATAGTGCCAGCATGTCCTGTTTTTATTCAAAATATTGAATCGTAAGGAAATATCAGTAGTTTTCATACTTCAGACTGACTCGTATAAGAAAATAATTGGTCCGCATCAACCAAAACGGACTATATTTGCACTATATCATGCTTATCTATATAGCTGCATAGTAAACTAGTTATATTTTTAGGTCAGAAGGAACTGTATAAAACAAATGACAGTAATATTAGAAAACAATGACTACACAATTTTGTTCGCATCAAGTTATAGTGCCAGCATGTCCTCTTTTTATTTAAAATATTGAATCAAAAACAAATTTTAGTTTTTTCATACCTTAGACTGACTCATATAACAAAATTATTTGTCCGCATCAACCAAAACTGACCATATTTGCAGTTTATTATGGAAATCTTTATAGTTGCATAATGAACTGTCACTTAAGTCAGTAGTTCGGGATGGTTTGTATTTAAAACAAAACTATAATATTTAACGGCATCATCCAACACTGACATGACTGATTAAAGTAATTTATAATGAAAAGTACGAGTTGATATGTATCCAAAGTATGAGAAGTTCTCTTCTTAGAAAAGTGTACTGTTAATATATTATGGCGGTTGATTGATTTCGTTTGTAGCCTAACGTCCAGGGGCAAATATTTTTTTTCATGTTCAGAACGAGTATATTTTTCGGACGTCCCAGATATCATTTATAATCGTTATGGATAAATCTGTCTAAATTGACGAGATGGTACAAATGTACATACTTATACAACACCAGATCAATATCCCTATATATACACTGTATAATTTTCGATCGAACATTTGGCAAAACAGAATCTTAAATCATGTAAATCCAAGGCAAACAAGGTGAATTACGATTAAAAATCCATGTATTAAATGCATAGAGTTATATTTAGGAAGAGACTGTTAAAAAATGGGGAACGAAGCAACGTAAACCATGATGTTTATATCCCATCATATGCAAATATTTTTCCGATGTGTTGGATAACCTTTCTATTTGCCTCGATATTTGTACATGTAACTTTTGAAAAGAAAATATAGAAAATCTGCTACTCGGGAAAATTATTTGAACTGATTTTTTGTAATTAATGAAAGTTAATATTTCGAATTAAAGGTGTTTTTGAATTGTTCTGGTTTGAAACACTTGTACATAAAATATTAAGATACAAGTCGTTTTAATTAAAATAAATGTACAAATGAACACGAAGTTTATTTCTAAATTTACACAATCAGTTAACGCGAAAAGTAAACGCGCGTTTACTTTCAAGTGCACGTAGAAATATACTTGTGAAATCTGTAGTAAACGCCCGTTTACTTTTAAGTGCACGTAAAAATAAACTTGTGAAATCTGAAGTAAACGCCCGTTTACTACTGACTAAACGGACACATAGTAAACGCCCGTTTACTCGGGTAGACATTAGAAATTTCCATTTTGACCGCGTTAACGTAATTATAGTAAACGCGCGTTTACTAGTAAACGCGAAAATTGAAGTTAACTAACGAAATATGTGCACGCGGCGTTAACTTGCGTTTACTTTATGTAATGCTTGGTCTGCACCCAACTGTAAGTAAGTCAAACCTGCTTCTCACATCACATGAAAAAACAGAAACCTGTCTTGTTAGGTCACAGTTCTTCTTGTCCCAATGTATTTATGCCTATGCTTTTCAAACCTCATCTTATATAGTCAGTATACAGAGGTTCTCATTTTCAGTTTGACTGCATAGTTATCAGGTCATAATTAAATCCTTAAAACTACAAATCTTGACATAGTGCTTTCATATGCTATACACATGAACTAATATCTTTATAAATACTACATTACAATATAGGAAAACATTTTCAACATGATAATACTTATGCAAGGCACCTGCATGACTAATTGATATTAAGTAATAATAAAAAAAATTTTTTTTAAACAATATCTGCCACAATATATAATTTTTCGAAAGGTGATCTGTTTCCTCAGGGTAAACATAGGTGCCAGTATCTGCATTTGTAAGCTACATTGTCAATGTTTGCCACAGTATAATTTATCTGAAGATGATTCGTTTCCTCAGCGTAATCATAGGTGCCGGAATCTGTTTGTAGTGTCCATTGTCATTTGTTGCTGTAGCTCTTCCAACCTCTTCGTTTACTTTAATTAAAATACTCAGTAAGTCATGCCTAAAAATGAGATAAAAGTATTTAATTAATGCAAATGCTACCAATAATAAGAAACCTCATTTTTTTTATGTTTTTCTGAAATTGGTAAAGTAGCTTCAAACGAAAATATTTTTTAAAACTCTCAAGACGAGGAAGGACAACAACTACACACATGAAATGATGGCAATGGCTTACAAAGCCTTTTTGGGTCAGATGAGTTAAAAACAAAACTACTTTAGTCTGTCTTTCAAATAAACCCCCCAAAAATATCAAGTATGACCAAATATACATAATGTTTCTTAAATACTTCATTTAAGCTTTTAATGTTTTTAAAATATTTTTTTTATTCTAATTTCATTTTTTACAGTACAATATATGAGGTAGAACAACTCTGGAGCATGTGATATCACACTTTGTTTTTGTTGTTTTATAGCTCTAAGTCTTTAGTTATCTTTTTAGTAGACTGTAATTTGTTTAAACCTTTTTTTCCGGCCAAGATCTGTCTTTTTTTTTACTGTCTTGGTATATTCTGGTCCGAGTACACAGTTATTTCGTAGTGCATTTCTTTTAGACAATAAATGAAAATAAAAAAAATCCCACCTGCGCTTTCTCAATAATATTTTTACAGTGTGTTGTACTACTTTTGGGACAAATTATATCAAAATTATAGAAAACTTCATCGGCTCTAACTCAAAATATGGACAATTCTATGTTAAGGGGGTCTTGAAATCTTTTGACAGCTTCCGAAGTGCTAATTTTTAACCTTTTTCAGCTGGACCAAATCACTACTTTACTTTACAATTCATGACCCAAATTTTTTTACAGTGTAATTTCATCCCCCTACTTGCTATTTGAGGCATAAAACATGAAGGAATACATTTGGAAGGGGTACTAAAAAAATTGGCAAGCAACACACTGTCCACACTAGGGACTTTATTCGTGGACAACGAAAATCAAAGGACGATAACTGTGTACTCGGACCTTCTACCTCCATTCTGTAAATAACAAAAATGTTCAATGGCCGAGTTGATTTTCAGAAAGAATAAAAAAGTAATATACTGTGAATTTTTGCTTAGAGTTGTCATTCTTAATAATTGATCATAAAATTGAGAATAGAAATGGGGAATGTGTCAAAGAGACAACAACCCGACCATAGAGCAGACAACATGTTTGGTTTTCAGCAATTGCCAAGTGATGGCAATACTTCACTTGAGCAAAAACAATAAAAGCCATAAAATTTAAGTTAAAACATGTTCCTATACTTACTTATTAGCATATTTATCCAGATTCACGGTTAACTTATTAATATACCAGCTCCCCTGTGATCTACTTCTGTAGGAAACATAACCGGGAACAGTAGCATATCCTAACAGGAAATCAGCTTCATCAGGGATTAACTCCCTTGGTCTGTCAACATTTAAATTATGTCTTTCATCTGGCCTAAGTATGTCAGCATCTGTTTCAATTGCATGACCTAAAATATATGACAATGTTTGTAATAATAAATTTTTAGTTTCAAATCAGGAATACCAATAACAACTAGATGTTGACTTGACAGCGGTAGTTGGAACAGAGAAAAACTAAAATCTGTATTTTTGTGAAGCATGATCAAGTTTATGTCTTTCTTATCACGTAATATCTTCAAGTAAATACTTGAAATGAACTTAAGATACTCGGTATAAATTACCTAAAATTACGTTTTTCATTATTTTGAAAGTTTTCAATTGCACAATTAAATTTTACACCTGTGAACATGCTCAGATATGTTCTTCTGTACACAACATGGTTCTTTTGATTTTTTTTTGCTTTTTTACCTTTTAAATTTCTTATTCAATAAGTTTAAATAATATTTTGATAAAACACATTTTTTATTGATAACATTATAAAGATGCAAACCAATTTTTAATAATGAGAGTGAAAACAGTTAGATATGAGAAAACTTTAAAGTTTACCAGTCAGGCCAAAAGGTGAATCGTAGCAGTCAATGAGCCAATATAGTAAATAATGGTGGTAAAAAATACAGCCTAAACCTTACATTTGCCTTAGTTTTTATTTCTTATGTATATCAATGTGGCAAATCTACATTTAAAATTGACTTAAGCTGTGTACTAGCCGGTCAAAAATTAATATAACAGATCATGACTGGAAAATATGACCGTTTTGGAAGCCATATGCATGGTGTACACAAGTACATAAGGTGTCATATTCGTCTTTTAAGAATAACAATATTATCCCTTGTATTATAAAGCCTTTTCAAAAACAAAACAAAAAATGTTCGAATAGATATTTTGTTAATTTAATTAAGGTCTGGAGTTGTCATTACAGTAGCTGCTAGTAGTCCTTTGTTAAAGGGGCACTAGCTGTCAAATTCATGTTCACCGATTTGACTCAAAATTCTTATATTTGATTTATAACCAGGGCTTAGGCTCGATTGTATGTAGCTTCGTCTCGTGTGTATATTCATCTAATTAACTATCAAGTTTACCTCCGAAGACCTCCGATGGTCATATAAGCCATTTAACATAAATATAGATATAATTAGAATGCGAACTCGTGTAATTGGATTTTTCTAGGTCTGTTTAATTTCATATTATAGATTGAAAATATATGTTAATCATCGTTTTTACCTGTATAAGAATGATTTTTTGTGGATTGAATCAAGTCAGTCAAATGATTTACCTTTGTTTCACTTTCAATATTGACATTATTTTCCTTTAGATAACACAATTCATGCATTATCTCTAGCAAAGGGGTTAAATTGAAGTTCACATGAATACAAATCTTGACATAGTGCTTTCATATGCTATACACATGAACTAATATCTTTATAAATACTACATTACAATATAGGAAAACATTTTCAACATGATAATACTTATGCAAGGCACCTGCATGACTAATTGATATTTAATAATAATAAAAAAAATTTTTTTAAACAATATCTGCCACAATATAATTTATCGAAAGATGATCCGTTTCCTCAGGGTAAACATAGGTGCCGGTATCTGCATTTGTAAGCTACATTGTCAATGTTTGCCACAGTATAATTTATCTGAAGATGATTAGTTTCCTCAGCATAATCATAGGTGCCAGAATCTGTTTGTAGTCTCCATTAGCAATTGTTGCTTTTCCAACCTTGCAAGTGAATAATTCATCATCAATGTTTCTTAGCTTAAGTTGACAAAATTGAACCATAATGCCTGCTAAAAGCGAATTATTATTTCACTTTTTCACTATCATTACTGATTGAACAAAAAACAATCATACTTTAGATATCTTGTAGCTAGTGCCCCTTTAATCTTGTTAATCTATGCATCATTGTCATTTTGCTTAGTTTCTTTTGTTACCTATTCTGACATTGGACTCCGACTACTTTAAAACTGAGTTTTACTGAGCGTGTGTATTTTTCTACATTGGCTACATTGGCTAGAGGTAAAAGGGGAGGATTGAGATCTCACAAAACATGTTCAACCCATTTTTTTAGCCTGTCCCAAGTCAGGAGCCTCTGGTCTTTGTTAGCTAGTCTAATGATTTTTAATTCTAGTTCAATTATATGTTTTGGAGTTAAGTATGACGTCCATTTACACTGAACTAGTACGCATTTTTGTTGAGGAGCCAGCTGAAGCCTGCCTTCAGGTGTATGATCTTCTCGCTGTGTTGAAGACCCGTTGGTGGCCTTCGGCTGTTTTCTGCTCTTCAGCAGGATTGATGTCTCTTTGATACATTCCCCATTTCCATTCTCAATTTTATTACAGCCCCAGATGTTTCACAAAGGATTTCATTTTACAAGAATTCCAACATAGATGTACACTTTAATATTATACCTTCTTGGTTTTCTGTACCTTGACAAGCCTGAATGAAGAACAACTTCGGTTTTCCCGCCAAAGACTGACATCTTCTGCCAGAAACACAACTAGTTAACTGGCTAATTCTTACTATCCTTCCATCAGCTCCATAAACATGGCCAAGAGTTCCATGTGTCAATATTGACACCACAAGACAGTCATACATTGAGTGGTCTTGGCAGGCTGTTTCTACCATGATCTGGTTCATTCTTGTCGAGTCCACGTCATTGTATAACTGTACCTCAAAATTTAACTTCCTCCATATGTAATCAAGTTTCTCTAAACAAATATAAAAAGTTATATAATCAAATAAGACTTTATACAATTAATTAACACAAGAGTAACATAATGGGTGTCACATGTGGAGCAGTACATACTAACCCTTGATATAACTAATTAACATAATGGGTGTCACATGTGGAGCAGAACAATTACTAATGCTTCTGAAGCACTTGCTTAATCTTTCTATGTAGTGTTTTGTGTAATATTGCATGTTTTTGGTCGTTTTTTCATTTGTTGCCATGGCATTGTGAGTTTGTTTTGGACTTATGAGCTTGAATATCCCTTTCGTATCTTTCACCTCTCTTTTATAAACCTATTTTATCATTTTTACAAAAACTACAAGTACTATCTCCAAACTACTTCTGTGAAAGATGTATTGCCATATGTTTTTTGCAACTACAAATATAACACCAAAATAATAGGGGGATACACAAATATTTGGTTCTTCTTTTACATTCTGTTGACTCCCAAAGAGTTTTCTCCCTTGTGTGTGATGTACCCTTATAGAACTACAACATTAATTTACCTTCATCTTTTTCTGTGCCAGTTCTGGTTGGCAACTCCTTGCTAGATTGATCATTTTTTATCTTATGGAAGTGCTCGTTGTTTATTATTATTGCTAACCCTAAAAAAGAATATCCTTTTAACGATTAATGTAAGAAAAAATGCACACTTACTATTACGTGTATTGTTTTCAAACTATTTCATCATTGTTGATGTAATATAAATTACAACACAGTGGATTTGTTTAATTTCATATTTAATTCAGTCAAACTGAGCCATTACAAATTAAAGAAAACAAATGGGGAATATGTCTATGGGACACAGATGATGTCCCCATGTTTGTATACATGTGTGTATAAATATTTTGAGTTAATTTGCTTTTACATGAAAGGTCTAATTCTTCTGTAAGTACATTGTTACCCATTCAAAAATCACGCTACACAAATTCGTACCTGATCTGAGTTTTGTGGTTATAAGCATTGTGCTTAAGTTTTAAAACGATTGGTTGAGGCAAACTTAAGTTAGAGAATGGAAACCAATTTATAGACTAATGGACATACAGTTGTTTAAGGGTAAAACTTTTGGGGGGCATAAACATTCAACTACTGTAAATCAAGAAATTATTGGGCAAACTTATTATTGCAATTGTGGAAAAATGGATGAAGATTTGAGATTAATTATAGCGATTTCAAGAATATCCACATACATATGTATGTATTGAATTCAAAATGAATGTTTTTATTCTTGCATTACTCATCAGTTGCACTATTCACCTTAATAAAAACCTATCAATAATTTCTGAATTTACAGTATCAAAATGTTACGCTCTACTAAAGCATGATATAAGTCCACAAACCTCTCTATATTGGCATTAACCCTTGTATTATAAACGGAAAAATGTAAGCATATTTACATATATGGCCTTTTTTATACATCCCATCTGCCCCATTTAAAACTAGGACATTATAAAAAATCAAGGAAAAAAACATTAAACAATCAAAATGTTTAGCTCTACTAACACAAGATATAAATCTACTAACCTCTGGGAATGGCGTTCATCTTATAGAAAGGCAAGGCAGAATCGTCAATGGCCAAAGCCTCCATTTGCCTGACAATGACATCATCCTGACGATTTGGTTGTCGTATTCTCTGGTTAATTAGAGGATCAAAACCTCGAAAAAAATAATTTAATAATATCACCATACAAATTCCCAAAAGTATGAATACCAGGAGTCATTGATTGATGGATTGTTTGTTTGTTTTAATGCCACTTTCTCCATGTTGGTTACTTTAAACCAACTTACTTTCCTAAACGATTTATTTAAGCAACTTTCTCGAGTTGAAAATCAACGTGAAAATAAATCATGGCAAAAATGCAAAACTATCATCTAGTCTTATATATATATGAATGCATAAAAAAAATCTAAAATCATGAATATAAATTGTAACATGTTTCCTAAAAAGACTTAACACAAAATAAAGTATCAGCAAACGTTAGTTGGTTTACAGTGTATCATATAGTCATGTGTCTGTCCTACCTTGTCAGAGCTTACTACTACTAAAGATTTTTTAATAACCTTGACTTGTGCTCCTGAATGTGATTGATTAGAAGGGGGTGTGGCTGCTCTAAAATCTGTGTCCTCATTTCCTTGGGACACTATTTGTCTGTCCTTTGCAGATGTCTTTTTAAAATTTTAATCAGTCTTTTTAAAAAAAGTTATTTTTTTTCTATAAGTAGCATATACATAAAAAAGAAGATGTGGTATGATTGCCGATGAGACAACTCTCCACAAGAGACCAAATGAAAAGAATATATAAACAATTTATAAAACAGTCGAAGAATTCTTATAAAAACTATATTGAACAGCCCGACAAAATGACGTCAGTAAAACAAGACAGACATATAACAAACATTGGTCCGAGAAAACAGTTATGACGTAGTGAATTTATCTAAAACAGAAAACAACAAAAATATTTTAACAAGAATTAGCACCTGCTCTATCCAAAAAATATTTTTACAGTGTAGTGTATTAATTTTGGGACACATTATATATCAAAATTATAGAAAAGTAAAAAAACTGTCACTCAATTTAAGGACAATTTTAGGTTATATAGTCTGACAGATTCAGATCTAGACATACTAATTTTTGACCTTTACAAACTGGATCAGATCACTAATTTACCTACACCTAAAAATTATTATAAACTGTTTATACATGTAATTTAAACTCTATATTACTATATTATGCATAAAATATAAGGAAATAAAATTGAAATATGTATGAACAAAATGTAAAACACTGTCCGCATTAGGGACTATATTCGTAGACAACGAAAGAAGGACGATAACTGTGTCCCGGACCTATTAAAAGGAATACAGAAAGATATAAGAACTCTTAGTAAAACATACAGTAAAAGAAATAGTACAATAATCATGATAATGGAATATGCAGACAGCTCTCTCACAAGCAAAAAACCCTTAACTGTAAAAATATAAGGGCATGATTTTACAAATATTGGCTTTATAGTATTTTTGAAGAAAAGAAAAAAAAAGTACTTGCCTACCCATTTTTGTCTCGCCTTGATGGAGTCAAAAAACGAGACATAGGTATGCTGTTGTCGGCAGCAGCGGCGTCAACAATGTATTAGTTTGTGGTTAGGTCTAGTTTATGGTGAACCACAAGTGGTAGGTCAATCATATTTGGTATGCAATTGTATTAGCATTGGCACATCTCATTTCCATGGAGATTATTTGGCCCTGCCCCCTCAGTCATGGTCTATTGACTTTGAAACTTTTGCTTATTTTACATGTATTAGTTTGTGATTAGGTCAGTTTATGGGGAACCACTAGTGGTAGTTCAATAATATTTGGTATGCAGTTGTATAAGCATTGGCATATATCATTTCCATTGAGATTATTTGGCTCTGCCCCCTTAGTCATAGTTTATTGACTTTGATAATTTTGTTAAGTTAACATGTAATAATTAGTTTGTGATTAGGTCAGTTCAAGGTGAACCATTAGTGGTAAGCCAATGTTAATTGGTATTCAATTGTATAAGCATTGGCACATTAATATTTGCATAATCAAAATTACAAAAAGGTGGGACATATCTCTGTGATAACAGTTTATCTAATTGTGGGTTGGGAAACAGCAAACAAACCATTGCTAACGGATGGTCTAAAATGTCTTGTTCACCAATCCTATAAACTGATGTAAACGATACAAAGTTTTGTATCAAATGCTGTTGTATTATTTTCTTCTTTCTACATACACCCATAACATGTACTATATAATTTTTTCTTGTAGGCCAGCATCAGAAATTGTGGGAGATATTTTGAGGCTAATCTCTGGAAATGAACAACCAGACTTACAAACAACATGGATTTCAGATACAAGCAGTCATGGCAGTAGCTCAGACAGTAACTGTCCATGCTCTATAAGGGTAAATGCTCTGGAGGAGCAAATAAAGACCTTTCACAGTTCATATGGAGAGCTGTTCCATAGATTGGGACAAGCTGAGAATTCTCTTTCCTGGTCATGGAACTTGATAAATAATATGGTTAGTACTTCTATATATATATGACCAACAAATATGCAGATTCAACAGTAATGCTGATCCGAGATTATTTGAAAAAAAAACACAAGTCTAGAAACACAAAGATATTAAAGTTTAGTGTGGATACAATGAATGCATCATGTACACTCAAAAAAGGGCAAAGGAATAAAAAAATAATAGTATTGCACGTTGTTGTAAAACATTATCCACCTTTATCTGCCTGAGGGGAAATATTGATTGATTGAATGGTTGCTTAAGTACTAATATCTATATTCAGGCAGAAATTCTGACTGTCTTTTTCTATATTCTATTATATTAACAATTGGGTGAAAAAATGTTAATATCAGCACAAAAATATATTGGTCTGTACATGTATTTTTTAAATAAAACTCTTTGTTATGATTATATTGTTTCCTCAATAAATAGGTATCTGGTACTCTGAATCACTTCTGGTTTCCTTTAGTCAAATGTGCTATATATATGTTACTGTCATGACTGTGTGTACATGGTGTAAATGGTTAAATTTATGATTTCATGCATATAATCCAAAATTCGTAAGGGTTCCGCGGAACCCAGTGTCTCGCCTACTTTTTCTCTTTAATCGCAGGCTCAACAAAAATGAGGAAGTAGATCAATAAAAATATTCCTCTTGATACTATCTTTTGATTGTAAGAAGCTTCTGACCAAGTTTGGTAAAAATCAAGGATAGTTTATGAATCTAATAAATGTTTAAAAACTTTAACTGCAGACTGAATGTAATGTTAACTGGAAGAAAACAAAATTTCCTTCTAGATACTAACATTTGATCATAAACAAGCTTCTGTCCAAGTTTGGTACAAATCCAAAATAGTATAAGAAAGTTATTAAAATTTTAAAAACTTTAACCACAGAGTGAATGTGTTGTTTCCTGGCAGAAAATCTAAGTCCATTTAAAAGTAAAAAATGGAAAAAATGGATTTATTTTTTTACAAAATTTACTTCTGGATACTATCTTATGATCATAAACAAGCTTCTATATGTTACGATACTGTTGGGATATAGTTACGATACTGTTGTCAGGTCATTAAAGATTGCATATTTTGGTGTTAATATTGATTCACTTATAGGGTCTTTGCATCGGCACTAAACACATTTATTTAAAAACCAATTGTTGGCATGACACGGGTTATGTTCTTCTCATATATGTTATGATGGTATGATACTAAACCCCTAACGGGAAGGATTGTGCCTGATATTCATATGATGAAGACATAATCTTTCAATCAGTTTAATTGAAGTCTGGAGCTGGCATGTCAGTTAACTGCTAGTAGTCTGTTGTTATTTATGTATTATTGTCATTTTGTTTATTTTCTTTGGTTACATCTTCTGACATCAGACTCGGACTTCTCTTGAACTGAATTTTAATGTGCGTATTGTTATGCGTTTACTTTTCTACATTGGCTAGAGGTATAGGGGGAGGGTTGAGATCTCATAAACATGTTTAACCCCGCCGCATTTTTGCGCCTGTCCCAAGTCAGGAGCGTCTAGCCTTTGTTAGTCTTGTATTATTTTTAATTTTAGTTTCTTGTGTACAATTTGGAGTTTAGTATGGCGTTCATTATCACTGAACTAGTATATATATTTGTTTAGGGGCCAGCTGAAGGACGCCTCCGGGTGCGGGAATTTATCGCTGCATTGAGGACCTGTTGGTGACCTTCTGCTGTTGTCTGTACTATGGTCGGGTTGTTGTCTCTTTGACACATTCCCCATTTCCATTCTCAATTTTATTCTGTCCAAGTTTGGTACAAACCCAGGATAGTTTAAGAAAGTTATTAAAATTTTAAAAACTTTAACCACAGAGTGAATGTTATATTTCCCGGCAGAAAAACTAAGTCCATTTATAAGAAAAATACTGAAAAATGAATGGAATTTTATTTTTACAAAATTTACTTCTGGATACTATCTTATGATCATAAACAAGCTTCTGTCCAAGTTTGGTATAAATCAAGGATAGTTTAAGAAAGTTATTAAAATTTCAAAAACTTTAACCACAGAGTGAATATTTGTGGACGCCGCCGCCGACTACGACGACGACGCCGACGGAATGTAGGATCGCTATGTCTCGCTTTTTCGACAAAAGTCGAAGGCTCGACAAAAATCAAATTCAGATGAAAGACAAACTGAAACAACAGAAAAGTGCACAGAAAATACTACTGTGAGAACAACTGAAATACTAGATCAGTTAAAGAGCAAGGAAAATAAAATTGACATTAAAACTGAAACATAGTGCACTGAAAATTAAACATACAGTAAAAGTAATAGTAAGTACTTTAGTTAAAAATCTAACTTTTTGCTGAACAACAGTTTTTTTCTGGACTAAATACTCTGTTAAAAGAAAAGAGGAGACATAAAACTATTCTTCAAATATTGCATCGCCAAAACGATTGTGAAATTTCTGCTTCAGAACAATTACATCTATCAAAGATGTAAAAAAATCTTGTAAGTGACAAGTCCTTCAATTAAATCACACCATTCCAATCAACAATAGAATCACTGCCTTTATCAATTAGTCCATTTTTATCAATAGCTATAAAATACAATCAGCTAATTATTTATTTATATTCAAAATCATTACGAGTTCAAGATGAATTCCTAGTATTGTCTGATAGTAAAGTGATAAAGTCTTGAGAAACCAGAAAAAGTAAATCAGATGAACGATGTAATTTTTTCTACTTGCAAAAATCGGAAAAAGGTGATTGCAAGCCAAAACCGTGATCCTGCACCTTGTATATCCCTTCATTTGATAAAAGTTTAAAAAGCCAAAATATATATAATTTACAAATTGGTGTTATTCTTTCAGACTGGTCCAAGTTTTGAAGTTGAAAATGACTTTAATTTAGAAGAGCATGTCTCTGAGGTAAGTAGAAATTAATACCCAACTATAGAGGTTCAAATTCAAATGATGTATTAAAAAAAAGGAAAATCAATATACAAGACAACAGAACAAATATGAACAATCACTCAAAAAAGGGGGAGCAAGACAACCTACCCTGCAAAGGGTTGCATCTTCTGCTCTGTATATGGCACTGTTAGAGAAGTCCCAAATATCTAAAGCCAAAAGAACCAATAGAGACTTACAAAATACATCAATATAATGATACTCAAAAATTTGTTGGTAAAAGTAAGAAAAACAATTCGTTCAATATTAATCTGTTGTACATAAATGTGGCCATATTGTGGTAAAGGTGTGTTGCTAAATTGTCATCTATATGTGTGAACACAATACAAAGTATTTGTCAATCTTGTACTTGAATATATAATTTTTCCTCAATTATTTATAAAATCCAAGGAAATCAGTCAAAATTTTTTTTTTTAGGAAAACTGTTTTTGTTTATTTTAAGGCCAAAATTGGCGAATCAGAACCATTAGGTACTGAAGAACAATCTGTCCTTTATATAAATAACACATAGCTGAGAGGGTGATAGAGCAGATTGTTACCCCGAGAAAACATTGTCAACTGAGGCGAAGCCAAGGTTGACAATGTCTTTTCGAGGGGTAACAATCTGCTCTATCACCCTCTCAGATATGTGTTATTTAATTTATTATACTGAATGTTCTGTTATTACTGTCGATAAAATTTCAAATTCAAAGTAATAAACTATGACGTCTTGTACATAACAACCATCCGTATTTAATAAAGCGCACACTTTATCAAGCATCTCCGTGAAGGGTAATAGAGTATTTGCCATAGGATAGAGTCGTATTTAATAAAGCGCACACTTGATCAAGTGTCTCTGTGAAGGGTAATAGAGTATTTGCCATAGGATAGAGTCGTATTTAGTAAAGAGCACACTTGATCAAGCGTCTCAATGAAGGGTAATAGAGTAAATTAACACCCTCGTATTAGCCAATCAAAATATGACATTTTAACGTGAAGTATAATAATAAAAAATAATGCATTTAAAAAGTCTGTTATCCATCATTGTATTTTATTTATTTTCAGGAGCCTCGAGTGTGTCAAGCAAAAACAAAGAAAAATAATAGATCAAACCATTCTGAAATTTGAAACTTTAACTTAATGATCCTTTTAAATGAAAGATGGTTGAGATTTTAAAGCCATATTTATTTTTTTTTTAAATTTAGTTTATGAAAAGTGTGAATTATTTATATATATTACATCTTTTGTTTTTTTGTTTGCAGGCATCATAAAGAGTAAATGGCAGTTTGTGACACCAAACATGGTAAATGCAGTTTTGAGGGATCTACTGAAGCCATGCCGCCAAAAGTGACTTTAAAATATTATGTAATTTTATAAATGCAGTGCACAAATATACCAAAGTTCTTGTTTCTATTGTTTATATCAATATTTTGTCCTATGGATCTTCAAGTGAAGGACAGAATGTGCGTTTTTGGTTGAAGTTGTAATATGCTTTCAAAGCAGGGAGTTTTATTGGTTTTATCAAACAGTAGGAAATTTCAGAAGACCTTACAAACTGGGTTTGAAAAAAAATATGTTCAATAATACTAATGTAGGTCAATGCAACAAGTCGTTTCATGCTTATAACCAATGCTTGGCAAATTGTCCATATAGGGTACCCAATTGTCACAGAGTATAAGGTTCTTCCTTGGCTAAGCAATACATTTTGCATGGAAAACAATGGAAAAATTCCCCTGGAATTCCATGGAAAGGTTACTTTTTCTTTTTCTTTTTTCCATGGAATTCCATGGAAAACAAGTTCCAATACTCAATGGAATTCCATGGAAAAGTTTCCATGGATTTCTATGGGAAACAATAGAAAATCTAGGGATGGGTAGCTTCTCCTGTAATCACATAAAATCACTTAGATATAAGAAGATGTGGTATGAGTGCCTATGAGACAACTCTCCATCCAAGTCAAAATTTATAAAAGTAAACCATTATAGGTCAAAGTACAGTCTTCAACACAGAGCCTTGGTTCACACCGAACAGCAAGCTATATAGGGCCAAAAAATTACTAGTGTAAAACCATTCAAACGGGAAAACCAACGGTCTAATCTATATAAAAAACAAGAAACGAGAAACACTTATGAACCACATCAACAAACGACAACTACTGAACATCAGATTCCTGACTTAGGACAGGTGCAAACAATTACAGCGGGTTTAAACGTTTTAATGGTACCAAAACTTATCTGAAACAATAGTGTAACATCATAACATAGAAAGACACACTATAAAATATCAATTGAAATGGCTTAACTCAATCAAAAGACATATTAACACCAGTGAACATACACTGAACAAATAAATTTGATCTATAATACAATGTAAATACAAAATAAATAAACTAAGCGAAGAATAATTAAAGTAACATGTTATACCGCTGTGAAATGTTAAACAATTTAAGAAAAACAATATGCTTGAACAAAAATATCAGCCATTTGCAATTACTTTAAACACAGGTAAATGAAAATAATTTTGTTGTTAGGTATACGTGTACAGTTCAAATGGAGAAAGGAAATATTTTTACAAAATAAATAATTTTGATGTTCATAGTACTAAGAAGTGAAAATTTATAGTAATACCAAACACTTATCAAAGATGGTATTTAGACCAGATATAACCCTGAATAAGTAAACATTAAAAAACAAAAAAGCATTACAGTTAGTATCAACAGGTCAAATAAACAAGAAAGTAAGATTTGTGAGTACTCACAGTTACTGACAGCTAGCTAAAAGCCAATAAATTGCTTCGCCGGGCGCAGCTGGATACGACCGCAGAGGTCCAATCCTGAACAGTTGGGGCAAAAATGGAAATAATAATCGCGCTTGATACAGGTCTGAATTTGGATTGTAATTCAATATTTGACACATAATAGGTTTCTGACACAGAATAACTGTAGTCAAAGAACTTAGAATTGGTCATATGATTTGAATTTATATTCAATTTTTGCTTTTGTGCAATACACTGTGACTGTGCGAATCGACCCCCCCCCCCCCCTCCCCCCCCAAAAAAAATAAATAAAAATTACCCATTTTTTTTTTTTGCTTTTGTGCAATACAATATGCTATTGCGTAATGCCCCCCCCCCCCCCTTTTTTTAGCAAAAAAAAAAAATATGTGAAGAAATTTTGTTCAATTTCTGAAATCGGAAATGAGAAAAATGTCATAACAATGTCATAACAATATACGACAGAAAATTTTGTCGTATAAAAACAATTGATAATAAAAAATCATGTATCAGAGACTAAAATCAACTAAAACAAATCCCAGGGATTTAGTATTTTAACGTCATGGACAGTCAAGGAAGACATGACTGGTGATCTGCCAAAAATAAATGTATCGACAGGCAGTAGGATAGATAGGAGTTAATCTCTTTATAGATCAAAATGAAAGTGGGTGTGTCTTTACACAGCCCGTTTGAAAAGAATACAAATTTAGTTATGTTTTAATTTGCTGATGAAAAAATCGATATTAGTGCCAATGTAAAATATATTCAAAGATCTAATTACAACATTTGTAAGATAACCTTTACTAATAAGTTTGTTTAAAGGTTCGATGAGTTTACACGGATCAAATAGTGATTTCCGCGCTTTAAGTACAATATTACTGTAAAATTTAGGATGTGAAATACCGTTTTTAATCAGTTTTCTACAGGTACAGCCAAATTTACTAATCAAATCATTGTATCTATGAAAGAATTTAGTAAAAGTTTTATGTAATTTATGGTAACGAAATCCCTGACTGAATAATTTACCAGTGACGCATTGATTACGTTCCTTAAAATCTATGACTTCACTACACACACGGGCATAATGAATGAGTTGGGATCTACAAACACCGTATGATGGAGCCAAAGGAACATCGCCTTCTAAAAAAGGAAAATTAACAATAGGGAATGAAAAGTCGTCTCTTTTGTCTTAAATTTTAGTATGGAGTTTTCCTTTAGAGATTGAAATGTCCAAATCTAAAAAAGGACAACTACTGCTGTTTATGTTAGACTTTACATGTACATTTAGGCAACAGTAGTTTATGTGAAAGTAACAAATAATAACTGAGGGAATCCATCAGGAGGGAGACTGAGGGCGTGACAAGGTGAGTCTCCTCTATGCATGCTTCACAGGACATGGGAATCTACACACAGTAGAAATGTCACAATCGGGTATAGGACATATTTTAATGTGTTTAATGAGACTTGTTATTCACTATGTAGAATCACCATTTGCAATTTTGAATTGTGATTCAATATTTTCAGTGGTGCATTCATCACTATTTTTGAAGCATCATGGATTCCTCCAGTCCGAACAATCATTTTTGACATTTGTTTTTATTTTTAGGATTTTTTTATCAGCAAGCTCATGATGAGGAGTCAAGACTTTAGAACTTAAAAATGCAATCTTCAAACCAATGTACAGAGGTAATTAATTCAAATATCACTTACTGGTGTTGAGTAAATAATATTTTTAAAGTGTTTAAAAGGAAGACTGCTGTTGTACGAAGGTAAACCAATAATGTGTCCATAGTACACGGATATCCCAATCCCATTATCATTTTCTATGTTCAGTGGACCGTGAAATTGGGGTCAAAACTCAAATTTGGTATTAGACTTAGAAAGATCATATCATAGGGAACATGTGGACTAAGTTTCAAGTTGATTGGACTTCAACTTCATCAAAAACTACTTTTACCAAAAACTTTAACCTGAAGCAGGCACTATCATTTTCTATGTTTAGTGGACCTTGAAATTGGGATCAAAACTCAAATTTGGCATTAGACTTAGAAAGATCATATCATTAGGAACATGTGTACTAAGTCCCAAGTTGATTGGACTTCAACTTCATCAAAAGCTACCTTGACCAAAATCTTTAACCTGAAGCAGGACAGACAGACAGACGGACGGACAAACAGATGAACGAACAAAGGAACGAACAAATAGAGGCACAGACTGAAAAAAAAATAATGTCCCTAGGTTGGACGTAAAAACTCTGATTAACAAACCTGTCATAAGTTACCTGTCATGCCTATTAAATATACAGAGATCTATTTTCATAGTGAATCACCCAAAATCAATGGAAAAATTCACCCCTCTCATTGATGATGTGTGTGCAACCTGAAATGTTTTCCAGGGTACAACAACACTATTGAATCATTTATTTTTTTTTGTTGCCAAGGTTTGTTTGTGATTGGTGAAAAAAATAATATTTTGAGAATAAAATATTTCGTGATTTTCCTATACCCAAGAAATCAAAGAAAATTGGTTTACCACAAACATTAATGAATCAACAGTGTACCAGTTCAGGAATAGGACAACTTTTGTTTTTGCCATTTAATAAGGGACTTTCCATTTTAATTTTTCCTTGAAGTTCTGTATTTTTGTTTTTCAACTTTATACCACAACATACCTGATGAGACATTAAAATTCTGCTCTTGAATCCCAAATAATTTTTCTGACCGTACAGCAAGATTCTCAGAACCTGTTATGAAATGCAAAGTAATTAACAACATTGTTACAGTACCTCCTGTACCAAATATGACGCCTGTAAATGACGTGGAAACCAGGCATAGAAATCATACTTTATCCCGTCGTCATTGCAGTTTTTAAGGTATGCATGTCCAGGCATCAACCAGGAGTAACCAGGCGGAAACAAGCATAACTAAGGCGGAAACCATGTGTAAAATAAGCCGTAATATTTAAATGAGTACGCCTGGTCCACAGAAACCAGGCGTAATATGCAAATAAGTATGCCTGGCAATAAATAAACCAGGCGTAATATCGCAATAATAATAACTCTGTTACATATATATGAGTATGCAGGTTTTTTTCTGAAATCGCATTAATTTATCATAATTTTGATCTATTTTTTCAAAAATCGCTATAATAAATACATGCGTTAATTTTATAGTATTCATTTATGAAAAATATAATGTCTACATGTTTGTACATGTAGGTTTTCCAGTTTCTCTTGGCACTCAGTATACACATTTTTTAATCATGAAACTTAATATTCTGTAATTTTTCATATCAATTTCAAACTTTTAGGGAGCAAAAATCTCATACCTTGTTCAAGTTCAGCTTCTGGTTCGCGACTAAGTCGTGCATACTCTTCAATAGCATCTGTAAATCCCAATTGTTCAAAAGCTTTTAAGAGAGCATCTGCAGTTGGACTGGTACCTGATCTATTTCTCTGTTCAATAAACCAGTGTTTAAGGAAGCCATGAACTCTCAGCACATTTGTTGGATTTGCCTGCATTATTTGAGATGTCTGGTTAGAATCAATCATCAATGCTGAAGCCAGTAAAAAACAATCATCTCTTCTTGCTATGACTTTAGAAACCCCAACCAGTTTACTTTCAGTTATTGACAGTGGTATATCTAACAAATATAAACGAATATCAAGTCACATAATGTGAATTAAGGAACATTATAGCTACACATTTACAAAGATTTTGCAAACTTTGCAGAGACAAAGTATAAGATGAAGTTCACTTTCTTTTATATTGTCCCCTATATAAAAACCTTTGAGTGGATTTTAGTATTTAAAAGAATATAAGCAAATCATTAATATATTTACTTAATCCAAATATGTAAGTATTTGAATCAAGCTTTTGAAGTTCAATATAAAACTGAATATCAGTTGGTTTACCATTCATGCCATAAGAAATAAAAGTACTATTTTATAAAATAGACCTTTGGATGATTTTCACTTTATTTGTCATGTTTAATATGTTGTACACTTGAAATAGAAACTATAGAGCATAAATTTTTTGAATGTATAGAAATAAAACAGTTTTGGAGAGAATTTTCTAATTGGTGGTATTTAGTTTTTGGAGTAAAAATGTTTTTGAATAAAGATAGTGTCATTTTTGGTGTATTGAATTCTGATAACGTAGTTTTAAATTATTGTATTCTACAGGCAAAATATTCCATTAATTATGTAAAGAACACACAATTAGACAGACTGTTAATATCTGTGCAAGCTTTTCTTAAAGTTTTTAAAAGACGTCTGGAGATATAAGAATATTTATATCTTTTTTTAAAGACAAACACGAGTCATTTGTCGACAGATGGGGGGGATTTATGGAAGTTATTTAATTAAATTTATTTTTAATCTGATTATATATTTAATGTATTCCAAAGTATTTATAAGATGTATCATATACTGAGTATTCACATCATCAACTTGTAAATTTTTTACCATGTCTTATTCGCATAATATCACTAGTATAACAATGCCATAAATGTCATGTCATTCACTTATGTCTTGTAAAAATGTATGTATGCACTGTAGTTTGAACACCAAAAAGATCAATAAAAAAAAAAAAAAAAAGAAATGCACTGTAAAAAAAAAAAAAAATGCTAATCAAGGTCTGCTTACAGATCATATCCATTTTTACAATGTTTTAGGTTCATAATCATTTGTTTGAAAAAGGGTACCATTTGTTTTTGTAAATGGGTAGGTTGGGTTTCGAAAAAGAAAAATTTAACTTGGGCTTACTTTTATCATATTCTACATGTTCTTCACTAATGCATTTATTTTTTGTACCTCCTGAACGTTTATCTTGTGAACTTCTGTCCAAAAACGTCATAAATCCTGCTGTTAGCCCACTGTCTCCAGGGGATTGCTCCTCTGTAATAATGAGATGATTCACTGGTACCTCACTAATTATTCCAGTTCTATGAAAAGGTGAAGGTTCGGTTGGTGTCTGGTTCCCAACACCTCTTACAGATGGGTTGGTACCAGGTGATGGTTGCTCGTGCTTTACACCCGAAAATACTGGATTCTGTTGGTATTTGAGACTTGGAACAGCTCTGTAATTTTCTATGTCTTGCATTTTAAATCTTTTATGCATGTAATCATCCATATTATGATCTGTTCTACTATTTTTTGATCTGGTTCCTCGAATTCCTTCAAATTATACACTTAATTGTATTATAAGACTCTCAAACAAGTAAATTTATTTATAAATCAAAATATATGTTTATAACTGAGAGTCTCAGGTTTATAAATATCTTAAGTGTATTGCATTTGTGTTTGATCACTGAATCCTCTTTAAAACTCAGGCTAGTATTTCATATTGCCCAGTATTAACCAGTAAAACCCCGTAAAACCCGGGTTTTCCCAGTATTTCCCACTGGGCTGGGCAATACTCATAAAACCCGGGTTTTTGCCAACCCTGATTCTAATGCAAGATCGTTAACTTTGTGAAGTTCCCTTTGATTGGATAATGTCACCAATTTTCATGGCATCAATTCACAATTGATGCTATGAAAATGTACGTGCAAGCATAGGCGATGTACATGTATAACAGATTTTAAATGTATGATTTGACGTAGTTTTCTGTCAGTTTCATTAGAATGCAGATTACAATATTGTAGTTCAAGCTCCAACATGTTGCCAGTAAGTTTAATTTGCGACCAACAAATCAGCAATTGATGCCTTCGGAGCTCAAAATACAATACAGTTATCTCCTAATTGTTATATGCCTAATAACTGGATATGACTCATCAATGTATTTTAACGAGAACAAAATGTAGGTCTATGTTGTTCCACTGTATTAGCAGGAGGTATTTGACCTTCACCTTGGTATTCTGGTTCCTTTGACTCAATTGTTCTAGGTACGTATACCTGTCGATGTTCTTCTGGTCCATATCCTAACTTTGTATTCCCTGATGTTGGCTGAGCTCCTAGAAAGAAAGAAAAAGTTTATAGGTCAGCATAATAAAAACTTTCACATTCAGTTTAGTGTTAAGATAATTTACGTGTACTGATGGATTTTGAATTTTTTGATGCCATAGCCTAGTGTGAGACATTCAAAAGTCCTTTATTCTAATCAGGGTTGGCAAAGTAATACCGGCACGGGAAAACCCAGGTCCAGGTTATCCCGGGCTGGGCAATTTTCCCAGAAACAGGTAATACTAGGCAGTATGATTTTTTAAGCTTATTTCAACACAAAATAGTAAAGACTTGTTGTAGTTTCATAGTGTTATAGCTAAATAAATACATTTTATACAGATAACCATTGAGAGTAATTTCTAGAAGATTGAAAATTCAATTTCATTCTCTTCTCAACTAATTCAATGTAGGCAGAATACAAGATTTGCACGTTTTGGAATACCTTGTTAATTTCCAAGCATTGTTTCAATATTCCAAACTTTGAAAAAAAAATTATTTGATAGTAGTGTTTAAGTGAATTGTAAATTTAAATTGCTATGCAATCATATTGTTAAATATACACCCTACAGGGTCATGTCATGAACACTTATAGAAATGAAAAGGCTGTTTATATTGTTATATAAACATATCTGTGTTCTATTTTGAATAATTACTTATTAATTAGTGATGAACATATGAATTATTTAAAAGTAATTTTTCTTACATGTAATTGTTTATTCTTAATTTTAGTTATACATATTTGAAAAAAAAGGAATTCTTTGACTTTATGTTATCAGTTTGACCAATCTAGACAGAAGGGTGATGATTTAATAGATTTTTAGAAGAATTATTGAAAAAGGCTTTTTCCATTAATATTTGTCTAATGTGACTTCATGTACACTTTTCTCAGAGTTGTTTGAATAATACTTTTTCAAATTATACACTTAATTGTATTATAAGACTCTCAAACAAGTAAATTTATTTATAAATCAAAATATATGTTTATAACTGAGAGTCTCAGGTTTATAAATATCTTAAGTGTATTGCATTTGTGTTTGATCACTGAATCCTCTTTAAAACTCAGGCTAGTATTTTATATTGCCCAGTATTAACCAGTAAAACCCAGTAAAACCCGGGTTTTCCCAGTATTTCCCACTGGGCTGGGCAATACTCATAAAACCCGGGTTTTTGCCAACCCTGATTCTAATGCAAGATCGTTAACTTTGTGAAGTTCCCTTTGATTGGATAATGTCTCCAATTTTCATGGCATCAATTCACAATTGATGCTATGAAAATGTACGTGCAAGCATAGGCGATGTACATGTATAACAGATTTTAAATGTATGATTTGACGTAGTTTTCTGTCAGTTTCGTTAGAATGCAGATTACAATATTGTAGTTCAAGCTCCAACATGTTGCCAGTAAGTTTAATTTGCGACCAACAAATCAGCAATTGATGCCTTCGGAGCTCAAAATACAATACAGTTATCTCCTAATTGTTATATGCCTAATAACTGGATATGACTCATCAATGTATTTTAACGAGAACAAAATGTAGGTCTATGTTGTTCCACTGTATTAGCAGGAGGTATTTGACCTTCACCTTGGTATTCTGGTTCCTTTGACTCAATTGTTCTAGGTAGGTATACCTGTCGATGTTCTTCTGGTCCATATCTTAACTTTGTATTCCCTGATGTTGGCTGAGCTCCTAGAAAGAAAGAAAAAGTTTATAGGTCAGCATAATAAAAACTTTCACATTCAGTTTAGTGTTAAGATAATTTACGTGTACTGATGGATTTTGAATTTTTTGATGCCATAGCCTAGTGTGAGACATTCAAAAGTCCTTTATTCTAATCAGGGTTGGCAAAGTAATACCGGCACAGGAAAACCCAGGTCCAGGTTATCCCGGGCTGGGCAATTTTCCCAGAAACAGGTAATACTGGGCAGTATGATTTTTTAAGCTTATTTCAACACAAAATAGTAAAGACTTGTTGTAGTTTCATAGTGTTATAGCTAAATATATACATTTTATACAGATAACCATTGAGAGTAATTTCTAGAAGATTGAAAATTCAATTTCATTCTCTTCTCAACTAATTCAATGTAGGCAGAATACAAGATTTGCACGTTTTGGAATACCTTGTTAATTTCCAAGCATTGTTTCAATATTCCAAACTTTGAAAAAAAAATTATTTGATAGTAGTGTTTAAGTGAATTGTAAATTTAAATTGCTATGCAATCATATTGTTAAATATACACCCTACAGGGTCATGTCATTAACACTTATAGAAATGAAAAGGCTGTTTATATTGTTATATAAACATATCTGTGTTCTATTCTGAATAATTACTTATTAATTAGTGATGAACATATGAATTATTTAAAAGTAATTTTTCTTACATGTAATTGTTTATTCTTAATTTTAGTTATACATATTTGAAAAAAAAAGGAATTCTTTGACTTTATGTTATCAGTTTGACCAATCTAGACAGAAGGGTGATGATTTAATAGATTTTTAGAAGAATTATTGAAAAAGGCTTTTTCCATTAATATTTGTCTAATGTGACTTCATGTACACTTTTCTCAGAGTTGTTTGAATAATACTTTTTCAAATTATACACTTAATTGTATTATAAGACTCTCAAACAAGTAAATTTATTTATAAATCAAAATATATGTTTATAACTGAGTCTCAGGTTTATAAATATCTTAAGTGTATTGCATTTGTGTTTGATCACTGAATCCTCTTTAAAACTCAGGCTAGTATTTTATATTGCCCAGTATTAACCAGTAAAACCCAGTAAAACCCGGGTTTTCCCAGTATTTCCCACTGGGCTGGGCAATACTCATAAAACCCGGGTTTTTGCCAACCCTGATTCTAATGCAAGATCGTTAACTTTGTGAAGTTCCCTTTGATTGGATAATGTCACCAATTTTCATGGCATCAATTCACAATTGATGCTATGAAAATGTACGTGCAAGCATAGGCGATGTACATGTATAACAGATTTTAAATGTATGATTTGACGTAGTTTTCTGTCAGTTTCATTAGAATGCAGATTACAATATTGTAGTTCAAGCTCCAACATGTTGCCAGTAAGTTTAATTTGCGACCAACAAATCAGCAATTGATGCCTTCGGAGCTCAAAATACAATACAGTTATCTCCTAATTGTTATATGCCTAATAACTGGATATGACTCATCAATGTATTTTAACGAGAACAAAATGTAGGTCTATGTTGTTCCACTGTATTAGCAGGAGGTATTTGACCTTCACCTTGGTATTCTGGTTCCTTTGACTCAATTGTTCTAGGTACGTATACCTGTCGATGTTCTTCTGGTCCATATCCTAACTTTGTATTCCCTGATGTTGGCTGAGCTCCTAGAAAGAAAGAAAAAGTTTATAGGTCAGCATAATAAAAACTTTCACATTCAGTTTAGTGTTAAGATAATTTACGTGTACGATGGATTTTGAATTTTTTGATGCCATAGCCTAGTGTGAGACATTCAAAAGTCCTTTATTCTAATCAGGGTTGGCAAAGTAATACCGGCACAGGAAAACCCAGGTCCAGGTTATCCCGGGCTGGGCAATTTTCCCAGAAACAGGTAATACTGGGCAGTATGATTTTTTAAGCTTATTTCAACACAAAATAGTAAAGACTTGTTGTAGTTTCATAGTGTTATAGCTAAATATATACATTTTATACAGATAACCATTGAGAGTAATTTCTAGAAGATTGAAAATTCAATTTCATTCTCTTCTCAACTAATTCAATGAAGGGAGAATACAAGATTTGCACGTTTTGGAATACCTTGTTAATTTCCAAGCATTGTTTCAATATTCCAAACTTTGAAAAAAAAATTATTTGATAGTAGTGTTTAAGTGAATTGTAAATTTAAATTGCTATGCAATCATATTGTTAAATATACACCCTACAGGGTCATGTCATTAACACTTATAGAAATGAAAAGGCTGTTTATATTGTTATATAAACATATCTGTGTTCTATTCTGAATAATTACTTATTAATTAGTGATGAACATATGAATTATTTAAAAGTAATTTTTCTTACATGTAATTGTTTATTCTTAATTTTAGTTATACATATTTGAAAAAAAAAGGAATTCTTTGACTTTATGTTATCAGTTTGACCAATCTAGACAGAAGGGTGATGATTTAATAGATTTTTAGAAGAATTATTGAAAAAGGCTTTTTCCATTAATATTTGTCTAATGTGACTTCATGTACACTTTTCTCAGAGTTGTTTGAATAATACTTTTTCAAATTATACACTTAATTGTATTATAAGACTCTCAAACAAGTAAATTTATTTATAAATCAAAATATATGTTTATAACTGAGTCTCAGGTTTATAAATATCTTAAGTGTATTGCATTTGTGTTTGATCACTGAATCCTCTTTAAAACTCAGGCTAGTATTTTATATTGCCCAGTATTAACCAGTAAAACCCAGTAAAACCCGGGTTTTCCCAGTATTTCCCACTGGGCTGGGCAATACTCATAAAACCCGGGTTTTTGCCAACCCTGATTCTAATGCAAGATCGTTAACTTTGTGAAGTTCCCTTTGATTGGATAATGTCACCAATTTTCATGGCATCAATTCACAATTGATGCTATGAAAATGTACGTGCAAGCATAGGCGATGTACATGTATAACAGATTTTAAATGTATGATTTGACGTAGTTTTCTGTCAGTTTCATTAGAATGCAGATTACAATATTGTAGTTCAAGCTCCAACATGTTGCCAGTAAGTTTAATTTGCGACCAACAAATCAGCAATTGATGCCTTCGGAGCTCAAAATACAATACAGTTATCTCCTAATTGTTATATGCCTAATAACTGGATATGACTCATCAATGTATTTTAACGAGAACAAAATGTAGGTCTATGTTGTTCCACTGTATTAGCAGGAGGTATTTGACCTTCACCTTGGTATTCTGGTTCCTTTGACTCAATTGTTCTAGGTACGTATACCTGTCGATGTTCTTCTGATCCATATCTTAACTTTGTATTCCCTGATGTTGGCTGAGCTCCTAGAAAGAAAGAAAAAGTTTATAGGTCAGCATAATAAAAACTTTCACATTCAGTTTAGTGTTAAGATAATTTACGTGTACGATGGATTTTGAATTTTTTGATGCCATAGCCTAGTGTGAGACATTCAAAAGTCCTTTATTCTAATCAGGGTTGGCAAAGTAATACCGGCACGGGAAAACCCAGGTCCAGGTTATCCCGGGCTGGGCAATTTTCCCAGAAACAGGTAATACTGGGCAGTATGATTTTTTAAGCTTATTTCAACACAAAATAGTAAAGACTTGTTGTAGTTTCATAGTGTTATAGCTAAATATATACATTTTATACAGATAACCATTGAGAGTAATTTCTAGAAGATTGAAAATTCAATTTCATTCTCTTCTCAACTAATTCAATGTAGGCAGAATACAAGATTTGCACGTTTTGGAATACCTTGTTAATTTCCAAGCATTGTTTCAATATTCCAAACTTTGAAAAAAAAATTATTTGATAGTAGTGTTTAAGTGAATTGTAAATTTAAATTGCTATGCAATCATATTGTTAAATATACACCCTACAGGGTCATGTCATTAACACTTATAGAAATGAAAAGGCTGTTTATATTGTTATATAAACATATCTGTGTTCTATTCTGAATAATTACTTATTAATTAGTGATGAACATATGAATTATTTAAAAGTAATTTTTCTTACATGTAATTGTTTATTCTTAATTTTAGTTATACATATTTGAAAAAAAAGGAATTCTTTGACTTTATGTTATCAGTTTGACCAATCTAGACAGAAGGGTGATGATTTAATAGATTTTTAGAAGAATTATTGAAAAAGGCTTTTTCCATTAATATTTGTCTAATGTGACTTCATGTACACTTTTCTCAGAGTTGTTTGAATAATACTTTTTCAAATTATACACTTAATTGTATTATAAGACTCTCAAACAAGTAAATTTATTTATAAATCAAAATATATGTTTATAACTGAGTCTCAGGTTTATAAATATCTTAAGTGTATTGCATTTGTGTTTGATCACTGAATCCTCTTTAAAACTCAGGCTAGTATTTTATATTGCCCAGTATTAACCAGTAAAACCCAGTAAAACCCGGGTTTTCCCAGTATTTCCCACTGGGCTGGGCAATACTCATAAAACCCGGGTTTTTGCCAACCCTGATTCTAATGCAAGATCGTTAACTTTGTGAAGTTCCCTTTGATTGGATAATGTCACCAATTTTCATGGCATCAATTCACAATTGATGCTATGAAAATGTACGTGCAAGCATAGGCGATGTACATGTATAACAGATTTTAAATGTATGATTTGACGTAGTTTTCTGTCAGTTTCATTAGAATGCAGATTACAATATTGTAGTTCAAGCTCCAACATGTTGCCAGTAAGTTTAATTTGCGACCAACAAATCAGCAATTGATGCCTTCGGAGCTCAAAATACAATACAGTTATCTCCTAATTGTTATATGCCTAATAACTGGATATGACTCATCAATGTATTTTAACGAGAACAAAATGTAGGTCTATGTTGTTCCACTGTATTAGCAGGAGGTATTTGACCTTCACCTTGGTATTCTGGTTCCTTTGACTCAATTGTTCTAGGTACGTATACCTGTCGATGTTCTTCTGGTCCATATCCTAACTTTGTATTCCCTGATGTTGGCTGAGCTCCTAGAAAGAAAGAAAAAGTTTATAGGTCAGCATAATAAAAACTTTCACATTCAGTTTAGTGTTAAGATAATTTACGTGTACTGATGGATTTTGAATTTTTTGATGCCATAGCCTAGTGTGAGACATTCAAAAGTCCTTTATTCTAATCAGGGTTGGCAAAGTAATACCGGCACGGGAAAACCCAGGTCCAGGTTATCCCGGGCTGGGCAATTTTCCCAGAAACAGGTAATACTGGGCAGTATGATTTTTTAAGCTTATTTCAACACAAAATAGTAAAGACTTGTTGTAGTTTCATAGTATTATAGCTAAATATATACATTTTATACAGATAACCATTGAGAGTAATTTCTAGAAGATTGAAAATTCAATTTCATTCTCTTCTCAACTAATTCAATGTAGGCAGAATACAAGATTTGCACGTTTTGGAATACCTTGTTAATTTCCAAGCATTGTTTCAATATTCCAAACTTTGAAAAAAAAATTATTTGATAGTAGTGTTTAAGTGAATTGTAAATTTAAATTGCTATGCAATCATATTGTTAAATATACACCCTACAGGGTCATGTCATTAACACTTATAGAAATGAAAAGGCTGTTTATATTGTTATATAAACATATCTGTGTTCTATTATGAATAATTACTTATTAATTAGTGATGAACATATGAATTATTTAAAAGTAATTTTTCTTACATGTAATTGTTTATTCTTAATTTTAGTTATACATATTTGAAAAAAAAGGAATTCTTTGACTTTATGTTATCAGTTTGACCAATCTAGACAGAAGGGTGATGATTTAATAGATTTTTAGAAGAATTATTGAAAAAGGCTTTTTCCATTAATATTTGTCTAATGTGACTTCATGTACACTTTTCTCAGAGTTGTTTGAATAATACTTTTTCAAATTATACACTTAATTGTATTATAAGACTCTCAAACAAGTAAATTTATTTATAAATCAAAATATATGTTTATAACTGAGAGTCTCAGGTTTATAAATATCTTAAGTGTATTGCATTTGTGTTTGATCACTGAATCCTCTTTAAAACTCAGGCTAGTATTTTATATTGCCCAGTATTAACCAGTAAAACCCGGGTTTTCCCAGTATTTCCCACTGGGCTGGGCAATACTCATAAAACCCGGGTTTTTGCCAACCCTGATTCTAATGCAAGATCGTTAACTTTGTGAAGTTCCCTTTGATTGGATAATGTCACCAATTTTCATGGCATCAATTCACAATTGATGCTATGAAAATGTACGTGCAAGCATAGGCGATGTACATGTATAACAGATTTTAAATGTATGATTTGACGTAGTTTTCTGCCAGTTTCATTAGAATGCAGATTACAATATTGTAGTTCAAGCTCCAACATGTTGCCAGTAAGTTTAATTTGCGACCAACAAATCAGCAATTGATGCCTTCGGAGCTCAAAATACAATACAGTTATCTCCTAATTGTTATATGCCTAATAACTGGATATGACTCATCAATGTATTTTAACGAGAACAAAATGTAGGTCTATGTTGTTCCACTGTATTAGCAGGAGGTATTTGACCTTCACCTTGGTATTCTGGTTCCTTTGACTCAATTGTTCTAGGTACGTATACCTGTCGATGTTCTTCTGGTCCATATCCTAACTTTGTATTCCCTGATGTTGGCTGAGCTCCTAGATAGAAAGAAAAAGTTTATAGGTCAGCATAATAAAAACTTTCACATTCAGTTTAGTGGTAAGATAATTTACATGTACTGATGGTTTTTGAATTTTTTTATGCCATAGCCTAGTGTGAGACATTCATAAGTCCTTCATTCTAATCAGGGTTGGCAAAGTAATAGCCCCCTGGGAAAACCCAGGTCCAGGTTATCCCATGCTGGGCAATACTCCCAGAAACGGGTAATACTGGGCAATATGATTTTTTAAGCTTATTTCAACACAAAATAGTAAAGACTTGTTGTAGTTTCATAGTGTTATAGCTAAATATATACATTTTATACAGATAACCATTGAGAGTAATTTCTAGAAGATTGAAAATTCAATTTCATTCTATTCTCCACTAATTCAATGTAGGCAGAATACAAGATTTGCACGTTTTGGGATACCTTGTTAATTTCCAAGCATTGTTTCAATATTCTAAACTCTGGAAAAAAAATGATTTGATAGTAGTGTTTAAGTGAATTGTAAATTTAAATTGCTATGCAATCTTATTGCTAAATATACACCCTACAGGGTCATGTCATTAACACTTATAGAAATGAAAAGGCTGTTTATATTGTTATATAAACATATCTGTGTTCTATTCTGAATAATTACTTATTAATTAGTGATGAACATATGAATTATTTAAAAGTAATTTTTCTTACATGTAATTGTTTATTCTTAATTTTAGTTATACATATTTGAAAAAAAAGGAATTCTTTGACTTTATGTTATCAGTTTGACCAATCTAGACAGAAGGGTGATGATTTAATAGATTTTTAGAAGAATTATTGAAAAAGGCTTTTTCCATTAATATTTGTCTAATGTGACTTCATGTACACTTTTCTCAGAGTTGTTAGAATGATACTTTCTCAAATTATAGAATTAATTGTATTATAAGACTCTCAAACAAGTAAACTTATTTATAAATCAAAATATATGTTTATAACTGAGACTACTATAACTGTGTTATAGTAGTCTCAGGTTTATAAATATCTTAAGTGTATTGCATTTGTGTTTGTTCACTGAATCCTCTTTAAAATTCAGGCTAGTATTTTATATTGCCCAGTATTACCCAGTAAAACCCAGTAAAACCCGGGTTTTCCCAGTATTTCCCACTGGGCTGGGCAATACTCATAAAACCCGGGTTTTTGCCAACCCTGATTCTAATGCAAGATCGTTAACTTTGTGAAGTTCCCTTTGATTGGATAATGTCACCAATTTTCATGGCATCAATTCACAATTGATGCTATGAAAATGTACGTGCAAGAATAGGTGACGTACATGTATAACAGATTTTAAATGTATGATTTGACGTCAGCTTCATTAGAATGCAGATTACAATATTGTAGTTCAAGCTCCAACATGTTGCCAGTAAGTTTAATTTGCGACCAACAAATCAGCAATTGATGCCTTCGGAGCTCAAAATACAATACAGTTATCTCCTAATTGTTATATGCCTAATAACTGGATATGACTCATCAATGTATTTTAACGAGAACAAAATGTAGGTCTATGTTGTTCCACTGTATTAGCAGGAGGTATTTGACCTTCACCTTGGTATTCTGGTTCCTTTGACTCAATTGTTCTAGGTACGTATACCTTGTATTTTAACAAGAACAATATGGTAGGTGTCACATGTAAAGCAGAATATTCAGACCCTTCAAGACTACTGGAGTTCCCCCAGTTTTGGTGGGGATAGTGTTGTTCCATCTTTAGTTTTCTGCACTACAAAAGTCTAAAAGTCTGAAAAGACCAGTTTTTGTCTTGATTTGCATGAACTTTTACTCGACATTCTCCAAAAGTATGACTCGTGTCTTAATTTCTCTTGACAAATTCTCATTTATATTAAATTTGTATGAAATTTCTTGACAAATTCTTGACATTTGAATACTGTCTTGATATTTCTCGACATATTTTCGACATTCTTATTTTTTCTCAGTATGGCTTGAGGCAGATTCCAAATAAGAAAGTTGAAAAATTCCCAAAATTATGTTTAACAAAATCAACACCAATAAGGTTCTGTTTTGGAATACATGTTATACTTATATAAGTAAACACTTTTTGACAAAAAATAGATCTATTCACATTATATTTTTTAAATAAAGGACACCTTAAAAAAATGTTGCTATCATAACAAAATTGACAGACATTTTGACGGAAAATTCTTATGTTAGCAACACAAACAATCCTGATATCTTCAGTATTTTCAAGGTTTGAATGTATATCTTGCTTAAATATGAAAGGCAAATTGGAATAAAATATTTCTTAACATCTGCACCAATAAAAAAGGAATTGTAATAACTTTAAAAAAGGATTATCTTGGAGTTGCTAACATAAGATTTGACAGACATGAACAATGCTGCTAACATAATATTTGACGGACTTTTTTGTTGCTAACATAATATTTGACGGACTTTTTTGTTGCTAACATAAGATTTGACGGACATTATTGTTGCTAACATAAGATTTGACAGACTAAATAGTGTTGCTAACATAAGATATTGACGGACTTGTTGCTAATATAAGATTGTGCTAACATAAATAAATTTGACAGACAATATATATTTGAGATTTTTAACTAACATTGAAGATCTTATCCTTGTTGAAAGTCATATTTAGAACTCCTGCAAAATAACGCAACCTGACATTTAACAAGATTTCAACCCAGGACAGATAACTCTAATTTGTAGCACATCCAAATGTTGCTAACATAAGATGACAAGTTTGACAGAACTTATGTTAGCAACAGATTTGATAAAACTATTGATTGAATAAAGTAAATTGAAAGATCCAAAATGTGTCTGTTTAATGTACATTATGAAATACAATTTTAACAGGCTTATATAAGTACCTACAATGATGTGGTAAGATTTTATGAACATGTTGCTATCATAACATTTATTGACAGACGAGCATCTAATAAGCAAGGTATTTGAAATTGAAAAAAATATATATCACAGATGTTTTTAACAAAAGAAAAGCAAAAGATTTGGAAACAGGGATGTTTGAATAATAAGACTACACTAATAAAAGCCATTATACCAGTGTCAATTTAAAGCATTGTAACACATAAACCTTGTGTCGAAAAATGGGAAGTAATTTCCGTCAAACATTTCACATTTTTCAACTTGTTTTGATCATTTCTACTTTTAATGGAAACAATCATATTCAATAATTGGTTTTCTTGCTTTATTTAACATTACTATTCAATAAAACATTCGCATATTATCATTCAAATAACAGTTAGTATTATTTTTATTAATTTGTTCTTTTTGACGGAAATTTTCTTTTCTTTATGGAATCTGCCTTGACATATTCTGAACATTTTGCATTGTGTCTTAAATTTACTTGACAGTTCTGAGTTTTACAAATCATGACCAATATTCATGATATAACTTTAATCTTTATTTCTCTTTATATGATATACTGTTGTTCCAAGTTACACTTCTTACAACAAAAATAAAAGATGGGCATGTAAAATAATTGAAAATATTTTTACAAATGCCAATATGGCTATGATATCTATAGTATAAAATAATTCAAATGTGGTTGTGTTGATATAAAACAATTTGAATGTGGGTTTTTAAATAATTACAAATTTTGATTCCTAAATCTTATAAATTAAATGATTAAAACCAATCATACTGTAGACATATTTCATTCTACATTCATAATATTCAATGTTGATATGGTAAATAATTATTATACCAAAATGTGGTTTATATAAATAGCAAATTATGATGATATACAAATCATTCATTTAACAGAAGAAAAATTTGTGTAATGTCATCTGTTGGAATATATATATTAAGTATTACACATGGACAGGATGTTCCCCATAAAATTAAGGTATTCCACACCCAAGAGTACACGCAACTGTCAAATAGAAATTACTGCTTTACCTGTAATCAGGCATACAACTTATCAGTTGACCGAACATGCCACTACAATTTAAAAAGTTTGTTGATAGATGAAAATGAAAATCATCATTTTGATGAAAAAAAATTGAATTAAATGGATTTTTTTCATCAAAATTATGAAGTTAATTATTTTAAAAACAAATTGAATAATTCCCAAAGATTAAAAGAAAATTATTATCTACTCCAGGAATAATAAAAAAAAATGTATTTATAATGGGTTCCATCAATGATTTCTATAAAAATCATTGGTCTTATGAAATGGATCTCAAACAGACATGCACAATATAGTTCTAAACATTCGTTTTCTTTTCAGGAAGGAGTTATCACAAATACTTATTTTTGATTAAAAATTATAAAATTCAACGCTAAAATTTGAATAAAAAATGTTTTTGGGTTGTTCTAAACTAGACATGCTAGAGGCTCTCAAGAGCCTGTGTTGCTCACCTGCATTCGACCTGTATTTACTGATGCTTTGGAAATCATGTAAAATAAGGTTAAAATCATAATTAATAGTATTAGATAATAGATATTATAATGATATCTAAGATAATAAACAAAAACTGCAAAATTTTTGTAAAATTACTTACTCAGGGGCAGCAACCCAACAACGGGTTGTCGGATTCGTCTGAAAAATCTAAATCTGATGAACATTTTTTCCACCTGTCAGATTTGCTCTAAATGCTTTAGTTTCAGAGATATAAACCAAAAACTGCATTTTACCCCTATGTTCTATTTTTAACCAAGTCGGCCATGATGGTTGGAAGGCCGGGTCATCGGACAATTTTTTAAACTAGATACCCTAATAATGATTATGGCCAAGTATGGTTAAGTTTGTCTCAGTAGTTTCAGAGCAGAAGATTTTTGTAAAAGATTACAAAAATTTACAAAAAATTGTTAAAATTGACTATTAAGGGCAATAACTCCTAAAGGGGTCGACTGACAATTTTGGTTACACAACTTATTTGTAGATCTTACTTTGCTGAACATTATTGCTGTTTACAGTTTATCTCTATCTATAATAATATTCAAGATAATAACCAAAAACTGCAAAATTTCCTTAAAATTACCAATTCAGGTGCAGCAACCCAACAACAGGTTGTCAGATTTGTCTGAAAATTTCAGGGCAGATAGATCTTGACCTGATAATCAGTTTTACCCTATGTCAGATTTACTCTAAATGCTTTGGTGTCAGAGATATAAGCCAAAATCTACATTTTAGCCCTATGTTCTATTTTTAGCCATGGCAGCCATCTTGGTTGGTTGGCGGGGTCATCGGAAACATTTTTTAAACTAGATACCCTAATGATGATTATGGCCAAGTTTGCTTAAATTTGGCACAGTGGTTTCAGAGGAGAAGATTTTTGTAAAAAGCTAACGACGACGGACGCCGACGCCGACGCCGACGATGGACGACAAGTGATGAGAAAAGCTCACTTGGCCCTTCGGGCCAGGTGAGCTAAAAATGAATTGTGGGGTCCAAATAGACACATGGTCACATTTTAAAACTGCCTATAAGACACCTATTTTAGTAAAGCAAATTTGACTGGCAGTTTTGCGAACGGCAAAAATCTAAATGCTGTTTGTTAGTAACTTTGACTTATATTCAAAGTGAAAACAATTAATTAAATGTTTAATCAAAATAAATCAAAATTAAACTACATGGGGAATTATTCAGGGTATTCCAACTTAGTTGCACCAAAAAGGTATCTTACTATACCAAATTGATCCTTGATTCTTCAAAGTTTAGTTAAGCCATAATAAAAAGGAGTAAATAACAGCAATAGAATGTCATAAACAGTGCAGAATAAGTCTGTTCACATTTCAGGCCAAATTTATACTGTTGAGATATTGTCAAGACATATCTAAGACTGTCAAGAATGTGTCGAGACAGATCGAGACAAATTTAAGACAGTCAAGAATTGGTCGAGACTAATCCAGACTCTTATCAGATGATACAGGAAGTGTCGAGAAATTTTAAGACAATGTTCATACTGTCAAGACACTTGACAAGAAAAATCAAGAACCTTCTTAGACAAATTCATACTATGTCAAGAATTTTTAAAAATTATTTAGACAAATTAAGAATGTCGAGTAAAAATTCATGCAAATTCAGACAAAAACTGGTCTTTTCAGACTTTTTGACTTTTGTAGTGCTGTAGAGTGATTGTGAACTCTATTTTGTTGATCTGGGTACTTTTGTATTTATTTTATTTGACTTATAAACATATATAGTTTTTTTTTATTGCCCCTTTTGAGTTGACCATCTAAATAGACAGACAAACAGTAGGTCACCAATTGACCTGTGTTTTATTGTGTCAATAATCATAATTATAAAAGTTTGAAAACACCATAAATATAAATGTAAACAAATTCTGAGCATAGTAAATGAGTAATATGAAAAAGTTTTTTAAAGGCCTCGATACACTGCAGTTCATATATAGATCTTTGCATTTCCTCCTGCTTTGTTACAGATGTTTGTTTCTCTATTTCAAAATAAATACTGTTATAAATTGATAGTATATAAATGACAGAACATAAAAAGCAGAAAAAAATGCAAGGTCCTTGTCGTTGTTTTTCGAGATATAATCAATTGAAAATTTTGTGTGAAATGATTTTCTCTAGATTTTTCATACATTTAACATTGACACCTATTTTTCAATCAAATCTATTTAAAAACAAGCATTCTGTGAGTATTGCATGGCAATACATAGTCCCCTACCGGTTAAAAATTCATTGTATTGGAACAAAATTCTAATTTGATCTTTAACTTGTCATGGTGTATAAACTATATAACAAATATCAAGTCAATATCTTCAAGCATGATGTAAAAAGTGTTGAAAACTGATTATTTAAGTGAATTTTCTAAGTCCAAGGACCATAACTCTGCACACATTCATCAGACTGGAACAAAATTCGAACTAGATCTGTAACTGGTCATGATAAAACTATGTAGCAATTTTCAAATCAATATTTTCAAGAATGACTAAAAAAAAGTGTGGAAAACTGAATTGCCGGACTGATGGATGAACAGACAGAGTGCAAACCTAAAGTCCCCTTCGACTTTGTCGGTAGGGGACTAATAACAAGAATTTTATAAGATTTTCAAAATGGCTTTAAAAACTATATATGTCAATGTATGTAATAATATAATGAAAAGAAAAGGAAGGGTTAGTGGGATTTTTTTTTATTGGCACTACATGGATAAAACTTGTTGATTTCTGAATATCTGACAAAATTCAATAACAAGAGTACTTAGCAAACATCCAGCCTCCTTCTACCAATCTAAATTTAACCTTACATTGCATGAAAATATATTTTGAAATCAAAAGCTCAAAACTTATTTTCCAAATGTAAATCTAGGTAGAATTGATTCTTTTGATGTAAGAAAAGAAATGGCATGTCCAATTTTAAGGATTATGATCAAAGTTTCCCAAGTCACAAAGTGTATAGACGGATATGTAAAATTGCACCTTACCTTTAGTGTAATGAATCTATATATAAAGGTGTGGTTGGGGTTTGCTGCGTATAGAGAATAAAGATGGACCAAGATTGAAGAAAAGAGAAAAATGTAGAATAGAGGATAATCAGTGATGGATCCGAAAATTTTCATTAGTTAGAGACCACTTACTGTAAAAGAGGGTGCTCGCTCCAGTCATGCTTCAGTGATTCCCTAAATAACCAACCAAATTTTTCCCAAAAAAGGGGGTCCTTGCCCCCTGTCCCCCCTTAATCCACCTCTGATAATAGGCAAAACATATTGATAAAGAATACAGAACAATGACCTGAATATTAAAAACTAGAGGCTCTCAAGAGCCTGTGTCGCTCACCTGTATTTACTGATGCTTTGGAAATCATGTAAAATAAGGTTAAAATCATAATTAATAGTATTAGATATTAGATATTATAATGATATCTAAGATAATAACAAAAAACTGCAAAATATTTGTAAAATTACTAACTCAGGGTCAGCAACCCAACAACGGGTCGTCGGATTTGTCTGAAAATTTCAGGGCAGATAAATCTAAATCTGATGAACATTTTTGCCACCTGTCAGATTTGCTCTAAATGCTTTAGTTTCAGAGATATAAACCAAAAACTGCATTTTACCCCTATGTTCTATTTTTAGCCATGGCGGCCATCTTGGTTGGTTGGCGGGGTCATCGGACCAATTTTTTAAACTAGATACCCTAATAATGATTATGGCCAAGTATGGTTAAATTTGTATCAGTAGTTTCAGAGAAGAAGATTTTTGTAAAAGATTAAAAAAATTTACAAAAAATTGTTAAAAATTGATTATTAAGGGCAATAACTCCTAAAGGGGTCGACTGACAATTTTGGTCATGACAACTTATTTGTAGATCTTACTTTACTGAACATTATTGCTGTTTACAGTTTATCTCTATCTATAATAATATTCAAGATAATAACCAAAAACTGCAAAATTTCCTTAAAATTACCAATTCAGGGGCAGCAACCCAACAACAGGTTGTCAGATTTGTCTGAAAATTTCAGGGCAGATAGATCTTGACCTGATAATCAGTTTTACCCTATGTCAGATTTCCTCTAAATGCTTTGGTTTCAGAGATATAAGCCAAAATCTACATTTTACCCCCTATGTTCTATTTTTAGCCATGGCAGCCATCTTGGTTGGTTGGCGGGGTCATCGGAAACATTTTTTAAACTAGATACCCTAATGATGATTGTGGCCAAGTTTGGTTAAATTTGGCCCATTGGTTTCAGAGGAGAAGATTTTTGTAAAAAGCTAACGACGACGGACGACGGACTACGGACGCCAAGTGATGAGAAAAGCTCACTTGACCCTTCGGGTCAGGTGAGCTAAAAATAGGGATATGGAAGACCTTCTGTTGTACCTTGGTAGGCTCTGACTTTGCTGATTAAATCTCCTCGATCCATCTTCTTCAACAATTTGTACAAAACTTTAATATCAGCTGGGTATAAATCACCAGATATCTGAAGCTGGATAAATACATCACAGATAGATTTAATTTTATCATGTTTCCATGGTGGAATTACTGACGACAAGATAAAAAGAGCTATCTTATAATCTGCAGTCTCCATTTCTTTTGCAAGTTCAAACAGCAGTAATCTAAAATGAAATACACAATCATATAATAATTTATCGTGAAGCTGTGCCATTGTGGTATTTGTCTTCTGAAAATTCATGCATTTATTATTGATAATTAATCACTGAAAACTGGTAAAGCCTTGGAAAAACGAATGTTGAAAATTATAAAGGACCAGCAGGCAGGAAACCCTTTTAATTTAATTTTTTTATGAAAAATCAGTGCAGCTCTACAGAGAATGTTGTTGTTAACCTGACAATAAATTCTGGTTTGACAATCTCATATTGTGGTATAATTAAGCTATGTGAGACTAAAGGAATAATTATTGAACAATGTTGAAAACACTTTTAAAAATTAAGAGTTATTATCAGACAATTTAAAAAAGCATCATTAAAAATTGTCAATATAAACCAAAGCAACACTCGTTTTTTTTTTGTCTGCACAAAAAAGAACTGACCAGAACACAGTTGTTCATCTCTCAGTTAAATTGTAACAAACGGTTAAATATCGTAATCCTTAGTTAAAATTTAACCGTAAGTTTTTTTCTGTTGTTCATCCTGTGGTTACATTTGACCCTTTGTTAAACCCTTGGTTAAATGGTTCAGATTTAACCCTGCTTTGGACCTCTGTTAAAATTTTAACTGAAGAATAGTTTTGTTTAAAAGTATGATTTCATGTTTATTACAAGATTTCAAAGGTCACAAAATGTTTAACAGTCCTTCCCCCTTTTTTTTTTTAATCAAGGTTTACGTCTATCTATCCGACATTTTCAAATCAACATTTCTTTTGTTCTGTTATCTTCTTAATAAATAAACAAATTGATGCAGCAAAATTAAACATATTTTTAGTAAGATAATGTTTGTATCTAGATTATAATCAAATAACTTATCAACATGTGATCAACACTTCTATTCAAACAAAAGGTGCTCTCTGTTCCCGTATGAAAATTTCAACAGGAGTTCAACTGGACTCTAGCTGGACTTGAGACATATTCCAGTCTGACTTTGAAAAGTCCAGTCTGACATGAGCCGTACACGTACTTTTTCTTATACTTGGGTTATTTGCCAGCCGGTATTTTCTTAAAAGTCCAACCGCACTTTTTGTAATGCTTACAAGAAAATAAACACGGCTGGACTTTTGAGGAAATTTATTCCTTTCTGTAGAATGATCAGCAGGATTTTTGTCTTAGAAAATTTTACATTCATTTATGAGCAGGAATTTAGACTTAGAAAATTTTCATCAGCCAAATCTACCCATACAGAAATAAAAAGTTTGCCACAATAGATTCTGTTCTTTGAAAGGAACAATTCTTTCAAAATGTAAAACAGTTAAAAATGAAAGAAATTAATAATAATGATAAAATATTTTTTCGCAATATAATTTTAGTTCAAACTATAAGATGTGATACTTTCCCTAGATTTTCAATTCCATTTAGGGCATTATGAAATATTTAACATAGACTGTTGATGGAAAGTTAAAATTTAATTTTGGTGACTTTTGATTGAATTATATCCAAGTTAATATGTTTAATATACAGCAATTATTTAACATTTCTACTTTTTTCTTAAAAAAAAAAAACACTAGCAACATCTGTTACAGGTCAAATTTATACATTTACTAGTATATTTATATTTAATTAGATGAATGCATAAAATTAATAATTATCATTCATTCTTTAACATCAATTAGAAACTTGAGCCATATAACAGTGATCAACAGTGATTTAATAGCAGTTAGTCTTGTAGAAATGTGCCATCTGTTTTCAATTAACCTCAGTCTGGACAGGTCACAGGAAGTACTATCTCCACAGAGATTGAGGCCATATGTGGGAGAACACATTTCGAAATACATATTTCTGCAATTACTATCACTTTTATTTAAAATTTCATAATTAAACAAATTAATAATTGATTTTCTTTTTTTAATATATCACATATTCAAATTAAGGCACATGCAATTAGTCATAAGAGGAACATTTAAAACAACTCCTTAACATGTTAAACAACCTCATGTATTGCAATACAACATTTGAATTTGGAATAAACAGGAAGATGTGTCTTCTTTCTTGAACAAAATGAGAATTTTATATCATTGGATGTAAAGCAAATGTTTGGAAGTAGTTCTTTTCACATTAAATAGAGAAGATGGATCATTCTGACTGGTATCAATGACAATTTAGGAAGATTGCTGTTTGCATGTGTTTTTGATTGCATAATTCTGGTAAGTACAATAAATTGAATTCCACCATTTTGGTGATATTATCTGATATGCTCTTTTTATTCAACATATTAATAAAATAATTACAATATTATAAATAGCTTAATTCTTATTTTTGAAGAGTGAAAAGAATAAAAAACCTACATCAAATAATCTTATATTCATGCAATAATTTTCATCTTGTCTGTTATGTCACTGTCACTTCCTATTTTGAATTGTTGTGTAAAAAAATGTATTGTTATATTTTTTATTCCCTCTGTATTAAGGAATGTTTATTATTTGAGTTGTTTTGAAAGTTTTTTGATTTCTACACTTTAAGTGATTTTGAAAGCCAACTTAATTTTATTTTTAGCCATTTTAAAATTATTTAGGCTATTTAATAACCACAAATTTTTAGAAGTTATCATCTAGCTTCTTAATACCCCATTTCTTGGTTTTGCCAGTAAGACAGTACAATAAAGAAAAAGAAATAATCAGTATATATGCATAATGTCATCTGTTTTTTTTTCTATTTTCAGATTATAGCAAGGGATGAATGATTCAAATTAAATCAGAAGAATCAAGCATCTGAAGAAAATCTGAGCCATGGCAGATCCAGGGGGAGGGTTCCGGGGGTTGGAACCCCCATTATTTTGACGATCAATGCATTTGAATGGGGACATATGGTTGGAACCCCTCCCCCTATCCTGAGTTAGGAACCCCCCCCCCCTTCCCCCTTTTGAAAATAGCTGGATTCACCCCTGCTGAGACCATCTATAAAAGTCAAACCTCACTTTTTGAAGTCCAGCTGAACTTTATAGAGTTCAGCTGGACTTTTTAAAGTTCAGCAGGACTTTGTAAAGTCCGGCTGAACTTTATAGAGTCCATATTTTTGCCAGAAATGCCGGCTGGATTTTTGTTCAGACGTACTTTTATTAAAGTCCAGCTGGACTTTATGAACCGGACTCCTGCTAATTTAAATATTTCGAGCCGGTTTACGGCTAATTTCGCTGAAAGTCCAGCCGGTGTATCTATTATAAGCAATTCAAAGAAAAGTCCAAATGAATATTATAAGTACGGTTCTCAGTACTGCTACAGTACGGCTACTGTCCGACTGGAGTACGTGTCATGTTTTTCATACGGGCTATGTCTGTTGTTGTTGTGATATTTAATGAACTTAGAAGCTGAAAAGTGTATTGTTTTTGTTAAGAAATCATATTTATTGGACAAACAGTTTTTCTTAAGGACCGGAGAAGAGTGTTCATAATTTTTTTTTTTATAAAAATGAACATTCACCATGTTCACTGAAAATTTAACCAAGAGTTAAAAATTAGTTGAACAATGCAATTTTTACCCTTGGTTATGTAACCCTCAGTTAAAAGATTTAACCCTGGTTTAAGTTTAACTGCGTCCTGGAGGGTAAAAATAGACCAGGCAGGGTAAGGCATGTAAGCGAAAACAAACAATCATTTTTGCATGGCATAAAAACATGAAAAATAGGATATCTAAATAATACAATTACAAAACTTATGTGAACATCATTGGGTGAAGGAAAAGCGCAACTGAAATTATACTTGCTAGTTTTTATTATTGTAACCCTGACACTGTTGCATTTTTCGCATTAAATAGTATAATAGACATTGCAATAATTTCTGAATATACAGTATATATTGGCCTGTCACAAAAAAGGAAGAGAAAGTGTGGTCATTATGTGTCATTACATGTCTGAATTCAAGAACCTTGTTGGTTACGTTGTAGTATGTCATTATAATGTCTTAATGTTGTACATTATATTAGGAAAATTTGGTGTTAATAATGTATCTTATCGCTAGTCCCACTGTCTATATCACTCTGCTCAGCTCTTAATAAAATTGCGTATCACGGCTTTGCGACTTCAAATACGTTGACCCAGCCTTAGTAACTTTGACCGGGACATATCAGCGACGTCATAATATTTGAACCGACGTTGATAAGTTTGACCCGAACATATCATGTCATTTTCCGGTCTGCTGGGGAAACAAAGAAAACACTTCCAAAAGACGCAAATACAGCCTGATAAATTGATTATCAGGTTATCTGCATAATGATATTGTAAAATATCAGCTACTCGACACAATATGAAGGCTTTTTGATCTCGTTCGCTGCGCTCGACAAAAAGCTTCATATTGTGACTCGCAGCTGATATTTTACAATATCAATATGCAGACAACCTGATAATTGGTACATGTACATGTATATGGTTGATTGTTTTTGTCAATTTACAAAACTTAGAATTGTTTGATAAAATAAAGATTTTTTACCCTAGGAATAGATTACCTTTCCACAATGGAAATAACGATGAAAAATTGCATAAATTCTGTATTTTTCATCGTTTTTGTGAAAAAAAGGTACTACGACGTAATCGTGACGTCATCAGATAAAAATCTTCATGTTTTTCATTTATATTTTTTAATATTATGCATTTCCAAACATTATGTGCAAATTTGAAATAGTTGTCAAACATTTCATTTTCTTTGGGCCAAATCCAGGCCTTAATATACCCCTACTCCTTTGTCAGCATGGTCAGTGTTTGTGCTAAAATTGTAAAATCAAATTTAAAGAGATTTGTAAACAAAAATCAGTTTTCATTCATAAATTAGTTGAATTAAAGTACATAACATGCCCTATTTATGGCTTAATTACTGTGCTGTATGGGTATTGCTCAATGTTGAAGGCCTTACAGTGATCTGTGTCATTGGTCTCTGGTGGAGGGTTGTCATACCACATCTTTTGATTTTTATAGTACATATATGGTATCTT